TGTGTATAAGAGACAGCGCTTATCCCTAACTGTGGCAGCCAAGCAACAGAGATGAAATAGGCATATTTATGTATTGTTTTCTTTTTAAAAATCAAAATATTAAAAGCACTGGAGGTAACGGGATTTCATTTGGGCTGCATCGGATGAACAGAGGGGGAAGGAGATGACTGCTGTCTGTCCTACCACGTGCCATTGCTCTGACCTCCAGTTTCAAAGGTTGAAGTGCCACAAGCAAAGGCAAAGCTTTCTGCAGCACCCAGCCCCAAGTCACTGTCTCAAACACCACATTTATTTTGTTCAAGGCAACTCTCCCACTTCTAGCAAAATGGGGCTGAGCTAGGGCAGATGGATGGAGAGCACGCTGGTTTGCACCTTTCCCAAGCAGCCGAAGGGGATCCTGGCGATGACTGTGGCTGCGGGAAGGCTGTGCACCACGGGGTGCATGGAGGGGGAGCAGGCCACGGGCCTGGGCGGCTGCAGGGGCCACAGGCTACCACCCAGCAATTTCACAGGTGACCCAAGAAGCAGGATACAGCCAGAGCTCAGGGCCCTTCCCCACCTTTTCTGTTTGATCACAGCAGCACTGATGTGGTGACAGAGACGACCCATCCGTAATACCCCAAGGCTTTCCAGCCCAACACAGATAAACACTGCTGAAGGCAGAACAGACTCTTCTTTCTCCAAAACAAAGACACGGAAAGACAATAAAGTCAAGAGCCAGGCCCAGCTCTCTTCAGAGTGATGTCCTTTTTGTTTGATTTCTCGAATGGGCTGTAAGCAAGATATAGATTTTTATGCAATCACAATGTTGATAAATTGAGCAATAAAAATTAATAATAATTTGGGGCTCACTCCTGCCAAGAACCAGGACCCAGAGCCCAGTGCCAAGACTCTGACACATCCAACCCATAGCATGGTAGGTGTGCTCTGGCTGGGAAGCATGCATGGCCAGACCAACACATCTGGCTCATTCTTCTGACTGATTTCCATCAGCAGGTCCCCAGTTCCTCTCAAATTACTCCTGGTTCATCATTAAGTAACAACGGGGTAAACACCAACATTTTGGCTTTTCTTGTGTGATAAACGTAACTGATGGTGCTCAACACAAAGATGAACTCTGCTAACAAGTATCACCCCAGTCTACATGTCACAATTAAATAAATTTTATTTTCAATAAATATACAATCTGCATCATACCAGACAATATGCTGTGAAAAAATAAAATGTACAGAAGCAACCAACAGGACAGCTTGACTGTAGCTAAGTTCATTTGGTGACCTGGAGAACTACCCAGGTTAACACACACAACACAGAAAGAGCCACTGCAGTCTGTGAGAGAATTAAAATTGTGTATTTTGGGCCTTCTTAAATGCAAAAGTTCCCGCAGCAGGTTTCTTTTGCACACCACAGGTTTGAGGGGATGTGAGCTGGCTTTCCCAGTACAAATGCTGTTGGAAATGTTTACTTTGCTATATCATCACTGTATCTATTTGACGTACACAGACTGCTATTGAGAGTGGCAGGTCTCACTGCTGATGCGACATCGGATCCATGTGACGCGGGGCCACGTGGCCACACACGTGCCCTGGCACACAAATGCACATGTACGTACTAACAGGAGCTTAATTCTGTTGAAACTAGTACAAGGACAAAACTGGAGTCAGAATCAATTTCACCACAGGTTCTACCGTTTAAAAAAATATTCTAACCTAATTACCACGTTCACCAACGAGAGCACACAGGTACTGATATCTCCGAGAGGATGAGCCATGGATTTGGAGTGGAGGGACAGTGGAAGCAACTCCCAACTCCTCCACCCACCTGGCGCTTCCCGCGGCACCCCCACGCGCAGCCCACGCCACCCGGCCACGCGCTCTGCCACGCGGGATGCAGACAGCCAAGCGGTGCTGGGTGCGAGCAGCGAGAGGTCCAGCTGGCCGGGCTGCTGGTGGCTGTGGGGGGACGGCCAGGACCCAGTGGGACATGGTTCACAGAGGCCAGTGTGGCCAGTTGGGTGCCAGCAGCTGCTTCAATCCAACGGAGCTGCTGTGGGGTGTGTGTAGGATGTGAGGTGGGGTGTTTCGGTCAGTGGTTTATTTTTTTTTGCCTCGTCCACC